ATGAGGCCCCTCGTCCCCGCCTCGCTGCGCAGCAGGCGCGGGGCGCATGGCTTGAAATGGACGAACTCGTCTTACAATACAAGCGCTTCTTGCAAGCCCTCTGCCATGAGGCTGAATGCCGCCAGATGCCCAGAATCGGCCGGGGCCGAGCCGTTTGCGCTATCGGACAGCCGCGACCTCTCGGGGCCGAGCGACCCGCGCGGTGCCAGAAGCCAACGCCCCGCGCTACCGCGACGACGAGCCTGTCCCAGACATCCGATGTGTTTTTTTTTTCGGGCCCCCCAGAAGTCACGACCCTTTCCTTGGGGCTGGTGTTTCATCCCAGGTCGTTTTTGTCGGTCCAGGGGCCTGGCGAGGACCCCAGGAGGCCGAAAAGGACCACAGACCTCCCGCCGCGATCTCTTCACGACGCGGGCATCTCTGAAGCCGCATGGTCGCAACGGGAGTGACGACCGGAGCCCCAGACCCCATCTTTGAGCGTCGCTTTTCGAGCCGGGTCGATCTGTGAGGGTACCAGGGGCCCGAAATTGTGCGGATACGCCTGTTGTATCGCGGACGAAGACGGGTCTAATATCTATCTATCTATCTATCTATCTATCTATCTATCTATCTATCTATCTATCTATCTATATATCTATCTATCTATATATCTGTCTGTCTATCTATCTATCTATCTATCTATCTATCTATCTATCTATCTATCTATCTATATGTCTATATATATGGACATATATATATATATCCATATATATATATATCTATATATATATGTATATATACATTTCTATCTTTATATATATATCTATATATATATATATCTGTCTATATATATATCTATACAGCTGTATCTACCTACCTACCTACCTACCTACCTACCTACCTACCTACCTATATATATATATATATATATCAACCAATCAATCAATCAATTAATCTATCTATCTATCTATCTATCTATCTATCTATCTATTAATATCTATATTTTCAAGACTGCATTGGCGCTTCGCGCCATGCGCTTTGTTCCGGACCCTCCCCGACAATGCAATAAATCATCGCTTGCTTCAGCGGGGGCGACCTCGAAGACTGGACGGGCGACCGGCTCATTTTTCTGATATCCCTGCTGCCTGCTGACACCGCGTTCGCCCGATGCGCTTGCACGCTTGTGCGCAGGACTTGGGAAGGAATGACGTTTTTTTTTTTTTTTTTTTTTTTTTTTTTTTTTTTTTTTTTGTTTTTTTTCACTCGCGAAGGTCCTCTGAGGAAGTAAAGACCGTTCCCATGACGCGCCGAAGAATTTGCAGCAGCTCTGGACAAATCGAGTGTTGGTAGCTTCCTGAATGCCTGGAGGGCTCTAGGCACTCAGGAAATTTCTGATCGTCGAACTTCGAATCTAGATCCATTGCCTGTCTCTCTCGATCGAGGAACTTAAACTCGAGCCTCAAGCGTGGAACCAAGATCGTCGGGTCAGCTCGATGTACTTCGTAGGAAGACGCCGTCAGGGCGTTTTTGGTCTCTTTTGGGCCGTCCTGGGGCCCTCTTTGGCCGTCCCGGGGCCTTCTAGGGCCGTCCTGGGGAGCTGGGCCCTCCCAGAGGTCTTCTGATGCCATCTGGGACCTTCTTGGGGGCCTCCAGTGGCCTTCCTGGGGGTCTCCCATGGCTTTCGTGGGTCTCTCTTGGGAGCCTTTTGGGGCATCTCGGGCTTCTTGCGGGCAGTCTCGGGGCTCTCTGGGGCCGTCTTGGGGCCCCCCTGGGCCGTCTGCAAACCCTCTGGGGGGCCTCTTGGGCCGTGATGGGGCGATATCGGAGGCCCATCGGGCAGTCTTGGACGCTGCGAAGTCCCAAACAACGGATCTGCTAAACTTTAAACATTTTACCGAAGAGATCGTGCGATTGTTGCTTCTTCGGGGCTCTGTTAACAGCTTCTTGGGGCGTCTTGGGGGCCTCGCCGTCTTCAGACCATCGCGGTTCCTCTTGGAGCGCTCTTGTGCTGTCTAGGGTCTCTCTTGCGCCTCTCCGATGACCCCTCTGATCGCCTTGAGTCTGTTCGCAAGGTCCGGCAAGGCGCCCTGGGAGGCCCAGAAGGGTCAGCGGAACTTTTCCAAGGGCGTCCAGGGGGCCGTTGCGACGTCCGAAAGGGCGTCCAGGGCGTCCCTGGGGGGGGGTCCGGTTTAGAGGTGGGGGTGGGGGCAATAACATGCAAGGATGATAATACATATATATATATATATATATATACAATCTGTCTATATCTGTATATATATATATATATGTGCATGTATGTATGTATGCATGCATGCATGCATGTATGTGTATGTATGTATGTATGTATGCATGTATGTATGTATGTATGCATGCATGCATGCATGCATGCATGCATGCATGTATGTATGCATGTATGTATGTATGTATGTATGTATGTATGCATGTATGTATGTATGTATGTATGTATGTATGTATGTAGGTAGGTAGGTAGGTAGGTAGGTATGTATGTATGTATGTATATAGGTATGCATGCATGCATGCGTGTATGCATGCATGCATGCATGCATGTATGTATGTATGCATGTATGCATGTATGTATGTATAGACATATACTGCGGGTGGACAGCTTATACCCCGACGTGCCGTTGTAGGGGCGTACATTCTCCAACCGCCTTGGGGCAGGCGTCCGCTAACCTCGTGCAGTCTTCAGTTTTCTCCCCTTCCTTCCCTGTTTCTCTCGGCTGTGAATGAAACTCGGTCCTCCTCCTTCTCCTCCTGCTCCTCTTCCTCCCCTTTCCCTCTTCCTCCTCCTGCTCCTCGTCTTGCTCTTCCTCCTCCTCCTCCTCCTCCTCCTCCTCGTTGTGGTTATCGTAGTCCTCGCCGTCGTCCTCGTCGTCGTCGCGGCGGAGATTGTTTTCCCTTTACTTGTTGGGTGGGGTGGATCATACGGTTTTTTTCCTCAGGGAATCGCCCACTGTGGGCCACCCTACACGCCAGAGAATTTGCGAGCATCTTCTCATGAGGATTGCAATAGGAATCAGTGGTTGTGGTTGCAATCGTGATCGTAGTCGTGGTTGGAATCGTGTTTGTAGTCACGATTGTAGTCGTAATCGTAGTCGTGGGTGTAGTCGCAATCATAAGTTCAGTCGTAGTCGTTGTAATTGTCGCCGTCGTCGCGACGGATATGTCCCCTCTATTGCTGGGCGAGTTGGACAATGTTGGGGGGGGGGGGTCATTCACCCACGGAATACTGCTCCCTCCGGCTGTCCTGAACGACAGAGGAATCATGAGCACTTTTGAAAGAGGATTGCGATGTGGATCCGCACGCTCTTCGCCCAAGACGTTGCTCACACTCTCCTCCTTCATCTCGTAGTCGTTGTTGTTGTGCAGCGGGCGCCGCGGAGGAATATTTGATTCCACTGTTGGTGGGACCCCAGTCCGTCAAGAAGGTCGCCGAGTTATAGTTCGTTTCCACTCTTGGAGGGTTCTGAGCATTAAGCTCGGCTAAGCTGTAGGCCAAAGATCTCCTCCTCCTCCTCCACCTCCTCCTCCTCCTTGCGACGTCAGATTTCAGGAGGAGGAGGGGAGGAGGAGGAGGAGGAGGAGGAGGAGGAGGAGGAGGAGAGGAACGAGGAGGAGGACGAGGAGGAGGACGAGGAGGAGAGGAGGAGGATGAGGAGGAGGAGGGGAGGAGGAGAGGGGGAGGAAGGAGGAGGAGGAGAAAGGAGGAAGAGGAGGAGGAGGAGGAGGGTAGGAGGAGGAGGATGAGGAGGAGCAGGAGGAAGAGGGGAGGAGGAGGAGGAGGAGGAGGAGGAGGCGGCCAGCTCTCAGGCTTTCGTAGCGGCGAGGTAGGCCAAAAGCCGTCTGGCACTGGCAGGTGCGGCGGGCCGGGCTGCGCTGCGGCAGCCCCCCCCCCATGGCAACCGCGGCGCGCGCGCCGCCGCCGCACGGCGCGCCCGCGGCGCCGCCGCGGGAAGGCTGGCCGGCGGTCGCGCCGCTGGGCGGAGGAGAAGGAGGAGGAGGAGGAGGAGGAGGAGGAGGAGGAGGAGGAGGAGGATCGAGAATCGAGGAGGATCGAGGAGGATCGAGGAGGTCTAGGGAGATCGAGGAGGTCGAGGAGGAGGAGGAGGATGGGAAGGAGGAGAGGAGGGAGGGGAGGGAGGAGGACGAAGAGGAGTAAGAGGAGGAGACGGAGGAGGCGGGGAGGAGGAGGGAGGCGAGGTCGAGGAGGATCAAGGAGGATCGAGGAGGTCGAGGAGGAACTCGAGGAGGATCGAGGAGGATCGAGGAGGATCGAGGAGGCTCGAGGATGGATCGAGGATGAGGAGGAGGGGGAAGGAGAGGAGGAGGACGAGGGGCGGAGGAGGAGGGGAGGAGGAGAGGAGGGGAGGAGCAGGAGCAGGAGTCAAGGAGCAGGAGCAGGATTCAGGAGGAGGCAGGCCCTCTCAGGGCTCCCACCTCGCCGCGCCGCGCCTCCGGGCCTCCTCCGATCCTCCTCCTCCCTCCTCCTCCTCCTCCTGCTCTCCTCCTCCCCTCCTATTTCCTCCTCCTCCACCCTCCTCTCGATCCTCCTCCTCTCCTCCTCCTCCTCCTCCTCCTCCTCCTCCCGGCATGCGCGGGTCCAGCGAGCGCCCCCCCCCCCCCCCCCGGGAGAGCGTGCTAAGCAGCCCTGCGCGCATGCTTCGCCCGCGGCGGAGGCGAGGAGCCGGGGGGGGGCCGCCTCCGGCCCACACCGCGCAGTCGGCTTTGGCTCCTCCTCCTCCGCCTCCTCCTCGTCCCGCCTCCCTCCTCCTCTCCTCCTCCTCCCTCCTCCTCCTCCTCCTCCTCCTCCTCCTCCTCCTCCCTCCTCCGCCGCCTCCGCGCTCCTCCTTCTCCCGCCTCCTCCTCCTCCTCCTCCTCCTCCTCCCTCCTCTTCCTCCTCCTTCCTTCTCCTCCTTCTCCTCCTCCTCCTCCTCCTCCTCCTCCTCCTCCTCCTCCTCCCTGCTCTCCTTGTCTTCCTCCTCCTCCTCCTCCTCTTCCTCCTCCTCGTTTTCGTTGTCCTCCTCCTCCTCCCCCCGCCCTTCTCGGCCGCGCGGACCGGCGCAGCCATGGCGATGGCGAGCCAGCCGTACCTGCCCTGGGCCACTGGGGCCGTCGAGCTGCAGTACGAGGCGTCCTCTCGGCTCACCGTCCTCGTGCTCCCCCAAATGCAGGGCTCGACGTAAGCGTGTTTTGGAGATTTCGTCGGCCGTTTTCGTTTCGACTTCGTTCTGCGGCAGAGGCGGATTGAAGACAAGGCCAGGGACAACGAGAATTACGCTACCGAGGAACCCCACATACTTATATTATGGCTGAAGTGATGATAGCCTCCTCCTCCTCCTCCTCTCCCTCGTCCTCTCCCTCTCGCCATTGATATACTCCTTCGCACCCCCTACGGTGTCGAGAAAGTGCTATCCTGCCTTGCCCTGGACAACCGGCTCGGATAGCGGCCGCGCTCAGGGACCACCCCCTGCGCACCTCCTATGGTGTCGGAAAAGTGCCACTCCTGCTATGCCCTGGGCGGCGGGCTCGGATAGCGGCCGCGCTCAGGGACCACCCCCTGCGCACCCCCTACGGTGTCGGGAAATGCCACTCCTGCTAAGCCCTGGACGACCGGCACGGATAGCGGCCGCGCTCAGGGACCACCCCCTGCGCACCCCCTACGGTGTCGGGAAACGCCACTCCTGCTATGCCCTGGACGACTGGCTCGGATAGCGGCCGCGCTCAGGGACCACCCCCTGCGCACCCCCTACGGTGTCGGGAAATCCCACGCCTGCTATGCCCTGGACGACCGGCTCGGATAGCGGCCGCGCTCAGGGACCACCCCCTGCGCACCCCCTACGGTGTCGGAAAAGTGCTTCCTGTTATGCCCTGGACGACCGGCTCGGATAGCGGCCGCGCTCAGGGACCACCCCCTGCGCACCCCCTATGGTGTCGAGAAAGTGCCACGCCTGCTATGCCCTGGACGACCGGCTCGGATAGCGGCCGCGCTCAGGGACCACCCCCTGCGCACCCCCTATGGTGTCGAGAAAGTGCCACGCCTGCTATGCCCTGGACGACCGGCTCGGATAGCGGCCGCGCTCAGGGACCACCCCCTGCGCACCCCCTACGGTGTCGAGGAAACGCCACTCCAGCTATGCCCTGGACGACCGTCTCGGATAGCGGTCGCGCTCAGGGACCACCCCCTGCGCACCCCCTACGGTGTCGGAAATGCCACTCCTGCTATGCCCTGGACGACTGGCTCGGATAGCGGCCGCGCTCAGGGACCACCCCCTGCGCACCCCCTACGGTGTCGGGAAATGCCACTCCTGCCAAGCCCTGGACGACCGGCTCGGATAGCGGCCGCTCTCAGGGACCACCCCCTGCGCACACCCTACGGTGTCGGGAAACGCCACTCCTGCTATGCCCTGGACGACTGGCTCGGATAGCGGCCGCGCTGAGGGACCACCCCCTGCGCACCCCTTACGGTGTCGGGAAATGCCACTCCTGCTATGCCTTGGACGACCGGCTCGGATAGCGGCCGCGTTCAGGGACCACCCCCTGCGCACCCCCTACGGTGTCGGGAAATGCCACTCCTGCTTTGCTGTGCTGCGCTGAGCTGAGCTGAGCTGTGCTGTGCTGTGCTGTGCTGAGCTGAGCTGAGCTGAGCTGTGCTGAACTGTGCTGAGCTGAGCTGTTTTGTGCTGTGCTGTGCTGAGCTGTGCTGAGCTGTGCTGTGCTGTGCTGTGCTGGGCTGAGCTTTGCTGAGCAGTGCTGAGCTGTGCTGTGCTGTGCTGTGAGGGCCGCGAGGGAGGTGTGTGCGTGAGACGCGGGTGCGACGCGGCAGGGATGAACACCATAACCCCACTAAGCATGTGGGGAAAAAGTGCCATGCCTGCCGTGCCCTTTGCATCCTACACGTGCGTGTTGTGTATGGCGTGTCATGAGCGCTGTGCTCAGCAGTGCTCTGCTGTGCTGAGCTGTGCTGTGCTGTGCTGTGCCGAGCTGAGCTGTGCTGTGCTGTGCTGTGCCGAGCTGAGCTGTGCTGAGCAGCGCTGTGTTGTGCTGCGCTGCGCTGTGTTGTACTACGCGTGTCTCATGTACGTGCCGTGCAGGTGTTGCGCGTGGGTGAAGGAGTGTGTGTGTGTGTGTTTGTGTCTGTGTGTGTCAGTGTGTCTGTGTGTGTCAGTGTGTCTGTGTGTATGTGTCTGTGTCGGTGTGCCTGTGTAGGTGTGAGGGTGTGAGGGAGGTGCGAGGGAGGTGTGAGGGAGGTGTGAGGGAGGTGTGGGTGTGAGACGCGGGTGCGACGCGGCAGGGAAGAAAACCCAAACCCCACGAAACATGTGGGGAACAACACGAAAACGAAAAACAGTGTTTAGGTCGATCCCTGCCCCGATGCACAATCCCCTGACGAACCCGCCTCAAGGTGGGCGATCTCTTACGTAGGGCGAAGAGTTCTGCCTTCCTCTTTCGAGATCCTTTGATGCTGATTTGCGTCCTACTTTGCCGTCGCTGTCTTCGCAATGTTTTTGCATAACTATCCATTCTATTTGGCGGAGGGAGGTGTAAACTGCTAAGGCGTTACGGCCGGTGCCGCTGACTCTGGAGGTCTCGGCCCTCGACGGAAATGTGAGGGAGACGGCGGGCCATGGCCCTGGGAGGGTGGTATTCTGACCTGGCCCCCCCCCCCGGGCTGCGTTTCCGTCGCATGTTTTACCAGGAAGCTCAGCCAATGTACGGCGGATCCGGAGTCAGGGTCTCCCATGTCCTCAGATCCGGGCGTTGCATTTTCACCAACCATCGTGTGGTGTTGGGTCTTCGTTTAATTGGGAGAGACATCGCCCCGCGTCACTCACTCCTCCTCTCCTCCTCCCCCTCCTCCCTCCTCGCCCTCCTTGCCCCTGCCATCCGAAGGTCCACATGCCAGCGTGCGCGTGCGCCCACCGCACCCATTTCTGGTACACCCGTCACACGTTTCGTGGCCCCATATTGAGGGAGCTACGCCGACGGCCCCAGTGGCTGCGTTCGCATGCGCTCACCGCACCCATTTTGGCACCCCCTCACACGTTTCGTAGCCCCCTAGGGGGCTCCACCGACGGCCCCAGTGGCTGCGTTCGCATGCGCCCACCGTACCCATTTCGGCACACCGCTGACGCGTTTCGTGGCCCCATAGGGAGATCCACCGACGGCCCCAGTGGCTGCGTTCGCATGTGCCAGCCGCGTCCAGTATTCACAACTGCATATGGTTGGGTCCTTCGCCAGGCTCATTCTTGACGCTTCGCATACCCCCACCAGCCCATCCAGAAACGATCAGCAGGGGAGTTGGTGAATCAGGGGCGGCAGGACGCATGCAGTCGCGCAGCCGTCTTCGGGAAAACAAGGATCACAAATAGCTTCCCGCATTGAAGTTTAAGATGGAATTCGGTGCAAGCCACGATGGTGCCTCGATGAGGGGTGAGGGGTGTTTCGATGACTCGTAATGGCTGTTGCACTGATTTGTATCTTAAGCTCGCGTACGTTTCGAAACTTGGAGGCATCTTGGGGCTCTCTTGGGGTTCTCTTGGGCCCCTCTTGGGGCCTCCTGGGGCTCTTTCTTGGGGCTTTCCTGAGGTCCTTCTTAGGGCCTTCTTGGGGCGTCTTGGGGCTCTTGTTGGGCGTCTTGGGGCTCTCTTGGGGCTCTTTGGGGGGGTCTGGGGGCTCTCTTGGGGCTCTTGGGGGTGGTCTGGGAGGCCTCTTGGGGCCGTCTTAGGCCTCTAGGGGCCTCTTGGGTCTAATTCCCATCGCCCCCTCGGAGGCTCAACAATGCTGTCTTGGGGCCCTCTTGGGCCGCCCTTGGAGCGCTCTTGGGCGCTCTTGGGGCCGTCTTGGGGCCCTCGTGGGCCCCTCGTGGAACTATCTTGGGCCGTCTTGGGGCCATCTTGAGGCCTCAAGAGCCCATCGGAGGCGAAACAGCGAGAAGGCAAACAATATTGATTCCCCTTAGACTTTTGCAGGATTTTGGCCTCGTGGGGGGGTCCTCGGAGGCCTCGGACAGCACTTGAAACCGTCTTGGGGCCGGCTTGAGGCCTCTTGGATGCGTGTCGGAGGCTATCTTGAGCCATCTACCGCTATCTTGAGCCATCTTGGAGGTCATCTTGCGCTCTCTGAGTATGGGTCGGGCCCCCCCGTCCAAACGCATGGAGGGGGGGGGAGGTAAACCTCTCAAGCAGGGAAAGGAAGGAGGTTGAAAAAGGAAACGCCCTAGACCACCTGCGCCTTGAGGGCTGGTGGGATTTTCACACTGGGCGTTTTCGCTGGGTTTTGGGCCCCAAGGCCCTCACATCGATTCGACATGAAAATATAGCAGCAAGATGGGGTCTGGGGCTCCCAGAGGTCGAACATTGCGAGAACACAGCCGTCTTGATTCGTTCGCGATCAGGAACTTTCGCTTCGTGTATCGCGCCGCCTGTACTGGCCCACCCCGCTGCAGCGCGACACGCTATCCATGTCCCGGTCCCCGGGCGTCAGCGTCGCGAGCCTTCCCCAGCCTCCCGCCCCGCGCGTAGCGGAGCGGCACGCCCTCCACTCGCAGAGCATCGCGCGTCGCCGAGGCCGCCGCCGCGACACGCCAAGCAAAAGTTCCCGACCGTTCCGCGTTGGATGTCGGCGGAGGGCTCGTGCTCTCGACGCGCGCTTGTGTGGTTCACCGCGCCTCGGCCGAGCGAGGCCCCGCCGGCGGACGCGCCCGCCGCCGCGCCGAGCGTGGCCATCGGCGCCTCCTTCGTGCACGCGGGGGCAACGAAGACGGTGAGCCTGACGGTGCTCCCGGGCAACGATCCCGGACCCCCATCGGGTGGTGAAAGAGACATGACCGGAGGTTTTATTCCATTTTCGGCCTCTGGGGGCCCTTGGCGGCCCTCGGGACCGTCGAAAAACGATTCAGGATGAAAAACCGGTCCAGGGGAATGGGTCGAGACCTCCAGGGGTCGGCGTCATGAAAAAATCATGACGTCGGGGGTCTGGGATACGGGGATGGGATAGGCTTCGGGGGGGACGCGGGCGGCTTCGAGGTCTGAGGCTTTCGAACGCTTTCGTCGGTCTCGTCGGCTTTCCAGCCTCGGGGTGCTCTCGAGCGGCAACGCCTCGCCGAGGGCGTTCCGGGGTTGCCCAGATCGCCATGAACGGCCGCCGGAGACCCGAGTCACGATCCGAAAGCCAGACGACGAGGATCACTGGGGGGAACCGGCTCAGGGGGCATGCATCGACCCCGAACCGCCCATTGATCACCTATATGGCCCGATCGCCCGCGCCGCCCAGGTCCGTGCGGTTTTGCCAGCGGGGGCCTATCGCCGATCTAACGGCGATGCATCGCAGATTCCAGCTCGACGTTACCCCCCCCTCCGGGAGGGTTTCTTCGAAGGGCTTATGCGACCCCTCCTCCTCCTCCTCCTCCTCCTCCTCCTCCTCCTCCTCCTTCTCCTTCTCCTCCTCTCCTCTCCTCCTCCCTCCTTTCCCACCTCCTCCTCCTCCCCTCCTCTCCCTCCTCCTCCTCCTCCTCCCTCTCTCGTCCTCCCCCTCTCCCTCCTCCACCTTCTCCTCCACTCCTTATCCTCCTCTCCTCCTCCTCCTCCCCTCCTTCTCCTCCTCCTCCTCCTCGGGTCGCCTACGGCCCTGGGGGAGACCGTGCACGCCCTCCCCACGTCCCCCTGAGCCCCGCCCCCCCCGAGCTGGTTCCCCCCTACAGTCAAAAACCTGAATAAGGACGTGCGGCTTTGCTCAGGGTACCCTTGCGTCCTTGCTCTTCCTTTCTCTTGCGTCCTTGAGGTTTTCGTCGTCCGCCGCCCCAACAATCCCAACTTCGGCTTCCAAGGGTCTTGCGTCCTTACCGCGCGTCCTTATTAGGGTTTTTGACTGTAACAGTGCGCCTCAGGTGCCTGCCAGGCTGAGCTGCGCGGATCTGAAGGGCTACCTGGCGCAGGAGCGCTCTTCCCGCATCTCCGACGGGCCGATTCATTCAGTGCCGGCGTTTCGCCTCGATGTCGGTCCCTGGGGTCCGTGCTTGGGCCCTGGAGGCCATCAAGAACGGATCCGGTGCGAAAAATTGCCCTCGAGGAACGGGTCGGGCGTGTTGATTCCGCGAATGGAACAAGTCATATCGTCGGATGTCTTGGGTTCTCTCGGCGGCAAGCGAGGGGCGGAAGTGAGAAGGAGAAGGCCTTCTTGGAAGGCTTGCAAGTCCCCCAGCCTTCTGAGAAGTTATCCTGAATCAGCCCTGAGCCGCCGCGTGGTGCCTGCATGGACGCCGCGACAGATCGCCAGTCGCTGATAAAACGTTCGAAGTGACGTCTCGGAGGTTGATCGAATCCTCACCCTGCCAAGTCCCAAGTCGATTAGCGGATTGCCCTCATGCGGCTCTCGAGGACGTAGCGGTTTGTCTTTTTTGCGGTTCTCGAGAGGGCGTTCAGGCCGCAATTTCTGAGGGGTCTGGCCGCCGGGTTTGGTCCAGTCCGCGGCCGTCCTCTGAAGAGTGTTTTGCTGAAGTCAGGGCTCATGCCCACCGCGCCCGCGCTCTTCCTCCTCCTGTTGTGCCGAATTCGGCACAGTGCATCCCACTGCTGCCTCCGAACGCGGTTATGGCCCTCGCTGCTGCGACAAGAACGTTTTGTTAAAGTCGGAGGGGAGGCCTCCAAACAGTGTGGTGACCACACCGCGCGGTGAGTCAGTGGGTATCCGGGGTCGCCGCACAGTTTCGGGTCGCTCTCTGAGAAGCGTGCTGCTAAAGTCGGAGGCCTCCGGACGGTGTGGCGACCACACCGCGCGGCGAGCCCGTGGGCATCCGGGGCCGCTCTCCGAGGACGCCTTGGGCGCCAAGGGGGCCTCCGAGGCCCCACAGGGCCGTGCCTGTGGCGGACCGCGCGGGAAAGTCTCCCTGGGATCTCGAGGCCGCGCGCTCCGCCACCACGCGGACTGTGGGGCCCCAGCACGGGGGGCCCCTGCCCAGCTTCGAGCGCCGCAGGGGCGTGGGCGAGCCTGGCTGCGGTCCGGCGCGCTCCAGCCCACCCTGACCCTGGGCCGCCCCTGGGGCCTCCTCCTCAGACAGTAGGCAGAGCTGAGAGATGGGCTGTGCTTCGTCTTGTCCAGCACGCGTCTGCCACGCGGCACATCGTGAGTGATTTGTTGAGTTTGGTGTCTGAGGGCGAGTCTTGGGACCCCGCCCTTGAGAGCTCCAGAGGCAAGCATGCTCGGATTTGGAGGCTCATTTTCGGGGCGGTAGGTTCCAGAGCGCCCCCTAGGTTTAGCTGGACCCCGGCCCACAAGAGCCCCGAGGAGGCCCTCTCTCTTGGGAATCTGTGGGCCGACTGGTTTGCCAAGCTCGGGGCGTCAGCGCATGCTGTGTCGTCGGTGCACGCTGAGTACCTCTCGTCGGAGCTCCAGCGTGCCAAGGCGATCCTGAAGTATGTCTCTTGGGCGGCCAGCCGAGCGGTCGAGCTCGACCTTTGGCACGACCCGCCCGAGGCCGTCCCCAGGCGTCCCCGTACAGGTGGGCCGCCAGTTCTCAGGCTAATGTCGCACTCCCTCGTTCGTGTCGAGCCCTCAATGGAGGTCCGGTGCCGCAAGTGTGTGTGCGTTGCCCGCACAAGCGGGCACCTTGCCCACCTTGTGAATGTTGAATGTAAGCCTCTGCCCACCCAAGCGTGGGCCGCGAGGTGCTTTTTCTCGAAGCCAGGTCTGGTGGTTCGCGATTTCAGGGGTCCTGTTACGGGTCCGTGCGTGTCCGAGGCCCTGGCGGCAGCTGAGGAGGTCCTGGGGCCCGTGCCTGCGCCGCCAGGGGAGCCACATGGGCTCGAGGCCTTCAGGGAGCTAAATCACATTTTAGTCACCCACGGTGCCATGGTCTGCTGCACCCAGTGTGGGGCCTCGGCGTCGGGGGAGGAGGGGTGGAGCGGTCGTTCGAATCTGAATTCGAAGTATGCGGGGCCGTCTTCCAATCCTGCCACCAGGGCCAACCAAAAGCGGAAGGCCGACATGGTGCAGCGTGGCCGCCACCCCAAGACAGGCCCGTTGTGAATGCAAATCTTTAAGATTTCGGTGTACCGGTCCATCCGTGCAGATTTCGGTGTACCGGTCCATCCGTGCATTCTGGCTGTAACGACGCTACAGGGCGGCTGAGGGGCAGTGAGGCTGCACTCTTCACACCCGTGGCCCCCACTGGCCTGAACTCGTTCATCTTGAGGCATCGCCTCCCCCTCCCGCCTTAAGTGGCTAGGGGTTCCATGTTTCCAGGGTTTTTCGGTTTCTCGGAAAACTCCTGCTGGCTGCTCGCCTCCTTCTCCTTCTCCTCCTCCTCCCTCCTCCTTCCTCCGTTTCCTAGGGTGGGGCCTACCCTGGGCCACCCGAGGCTACCCTGGTAGGCTACCCCAGGGCCGTGGGTAGGCCTTAGGTCAGCAGGGACAAAAAACACACAGACACAATTAATTGTCGACTCCCAGGAATAGATGGGAAAATATGGGAAGTGGGGGGGGGATACGAAAACCCAGAATATGGGGAATCCGGGGATTTGTGTATATTGATTTGTGTGTCCCAGGGCCCCGAAACTAGGGTGGCCTACCTCCCCTGGGG